ATAAATTTTTATATATTGAAAAGTTTGAGTCAGCAGATGAAAAAAGGCAGAAAGATATTGTCAAAAGTTATTAAGGGCAAGTGACTTAAGATTCTCACCAACATTAGGAGAAATGAATTTCTTGCACAGGTGAGATGCGCAAACTTTAGTCTTGCCCCAGTCAAGGCAAAGTCATGGAGGCTTTATTCATAACTGAATTGCAATGGATGGTGTAATCTGCACAATATCTGCATTACTGCACAGTTTATCATAAGTATAACTAATCTTTGTTGGAAGCAACAATCTGTACATGGATAATGAAATTGATAAAATGCTCAATTAAACTAAAAAAGTGTGTAAGAGCAGGATGAATGGAGATCAGAGTGAGAAATAAGTTGAGTGAAAAATGCTGTCAAAACTCTGCAATAAGATAATAATAAATAATAATAATCCTTGCATTTGATATAGCGCCTTATCACGTCTTCGAGACGTCTCAAAGCACTTCACTATAATATACTGTAAAGAATACACTGTATATTTTGTGGACGAAACACAGCAGCTATTTGCACACAGCAGTGTCCCACAAACAATCGTGGATTGAAGTGACCAATTTATTATTTTTAGTANTTTTTTAAGGGAATTATTACCTCTGGAAAAGCAATCCGCCAAATGACTAACAACTGGGTTCCTACTTACTGCTAGGTAAACGGAGAGGCGTGTGGAGTAAGGAAACTTGACCAACATTTCACCCTGCCGAGAATTGAACCCAGGTCTCTTGCTTGCAAGGTGAGTGTTCTAGCTACTGAACTACAGGAATCCATCATGTATGATAATGAATTGAGTTGCAAAACAGTCTCTTCATACTTCATTTACAAACTCAATTTTGTTTAAATTGCCACTACATAAATAAAATACATTGGCGTAAAGTACAATCCCAGCAAGCACGATCACTAAAGATACCTTCGACAAACATAAAAGTGAAAGCAGACATAAATAATCTAAAAGCCATGTATAATATATAAAAGTACGAGGAGAAATTTAAAAATCTTACATATGCTTCTCATCAAGCTATAAATATTGCACAATGTATGGATTCATTCTGTGCAGCATCTGTAAACATGTTTTCTCCCAACTTTCAAAACAAGGCAGCTACATAAATGAGTTGTAGTCTCCACTGGAAACATTCAATGAAGCACTTAATATAGCATTCACATGCTACAAACTAATGATTTTGCTTACTAAAAGGCCAGGTGAAAATGCTGAGCAGTACTTGTGATTCTAGTAAAATAGCTGTCATCTACAGAAAGGATTATTGCAAGTCTAATGCACTTTCCTTGCACAGTCCCCTGCCACTCTGTATTCAGTAAACTTTACTCATCGCAATTACTCCTTTGTTATGTTGGACTATGTTTTGAAATACAGTACCATTGTAAAGAGAAGAGTGTACCATAATTGAATGATTCTGTAAATTTAGCATTCGATTCAGATTTATAATTCCCCGTGTATAGTATAGTATTTACTGTTTGTCCTTTTTTAATGTACCTTGTGGGAGACTTTAAACCACACTGAAAGAGTAATTAATATTGAAACTGTCATTTTTTTTCTTCTTTGCTGCAAATCTCCAGCCCCCTCACAAAGGTTGAGGGAACTACATGAACCTAAAATAAGCCTAAATCCCTGAGTAGTAGTTTGCTTCTGGACGCCTGCAGTTCAAATCCAGCACAGATGTTGGCAATTTAAGTTTGGACATCTTGAATCAACACGTTTCACCCACAAAATACACCAATCAAAATCCCTTTACAGTATCCTTGAAGCTCTTTGAAACGTCTCAACAACGTGATGTGGCGCAATTATTATTATTATTATTAGGTGGGAATGAACACCTTGTGTAATTGAAGAGCTTTGGAGTCCTGTAGCTCAGGGGTTAGGGCTCTTGCGTTGCAAGCGAGAGACCTGGGTTCGATTCCCGGCAGCACGAAATGTTGGGCAAGTTTTCTTACTCCACACGCCTCCGTTTACCTAGCAGCAAGTAGGTTGTTGTTAGTCGGTTGGCGGTTTGCTTTTCTGGGGGTAATAATTTCCTCAAAAAAACCCAAAATAATAATAATAAAACGGTCACTTCAATCCACGACTGTTTGTTGGACACTTGGCTGCCGCGTTTCGCCCACAAAATACAATTCACTTTCAAGTATTTTCTGTGAAGCGCTCATAGATGTCTCAAAGACGTGATAAAGCGATTTAGCAAATGGAAGGATTATTATTATTATTTTAAAGCGCATCTGCAATTCTCACATTTGATATCGATGAACATGGTCCCAATTACATAGGATTGGCATCAAGTAGTATGCTTCATATTTACCCTTTCATCACACCAGAATAATTATTGAAACTTACATCTAAATGGTACTGATTATTAGGTTTGTTATTTGGATTACACAACTGTATAGAGTCAATTACCCAGGTTTCTTGTTTTTAATTGCCTAAAGATTGCCAATTAGCTTGCCCCTGATTTATAAACCGATCTTAACAGACAGTAAAACTGAAAACTCCCCCAGTGTAGGACACGGCTGCTGAATGCGGTGAACAATAAACCGTGATGGACAGGTTATCTGTGAATGATCAGACTGATAATAAGTACTTCAGAACATTTACATTTCCAGAGAGCTACTCTTTTTTGCAGTGTTCAATCAGTTTTTCATAGCTATTAGCTGGTAGGGTTAGAGATATATTCTGGATTATTTTTAGGGTTCGGACAGGAGAAACTAAGTTAATGTCAGTGTTATGGATTGATAAGAAAATTACAGAAAATTTAGAATTCCTAATCCCACCATTTAATTAATGCAGAATCTTCAATAATACAATATTATTGCTTATTTTTAAAAAAGTTGCAAAATTAATAGTAAATTGAACAGAATCTGAAATCAATGATTTGAATGCAATTATCACCCATTTAAAACATATTCAATATTGAAATTAAGTAAGAACTATGCTTTGTATCCACAGAATAATCAACAGTTAATATTCAGTAAATGTATGCAAAGAGATACAAGATAATATAAAAAGCCCTCCTCTATCCAGACATAAGGCGCTTTATCAAATACAAGGATTATTATTATTATTATTATTATTATGCCAAATGACCAACTAACAAAAGACTATCCTTGTTGGAGGGAAATGAGGAAGCTGAGCTAGTTCTAAAGTAACATGCTTGACAAAAGATTATTGGGAGTTAACACTTTTGTACTCAGTAATCTGGATCTTAAGGCAGGAAGGTCCGCAGTATTTCAGCACTGCTATGCTGGCAGGTTAGGCGGATTCACCCCAAATTGGACGCATGGATTTCTCAGTTTGGTTTGAATACTCTGAAGCACGGTGATGGTGATTGCATGTGTCAGACACCCGGCTAAACAAAAAAAATCACTGCAGCAGGAGGTGGGGTGTGTGCGCGAGTCACCCGGGGATAGACGCCCACTGGGGAGGAGCCGACAAGATGGGAAGTTGGACTAGTTGGCAGCTCTTCCCAAAGAGCCTGCACAGGCACGATGGGCCGAATGGCCTCCTTCTGTGCTGTAATACTCTATGATTCTATGATTCACTGGGGGCTGACCGGGGAAGGGCACGCTAGGACCCACTGGACCGTCTTGTCTTGAGTTTACTTACTTACACAGACCCTGAGCGTGAGTGGGGTTTGGGAGAGATGGAGAGCGAGGGAAGGGAGAGAGAGAGAGAGGAAAGGGAGAGAGGTGGGGGGGGGGGGGGGAAGGGAGAGAGAGGGGAGAGAAAGCGATGGAAGGGAGAGAAAGCGATGGAAGGGAGAAAGAGGGCGGAAGGGAGAGAGAGAGAGAGAGAGAGAGAAGAGAGAGAGAGAGAGAAGGGAGAAGGGAGAGAGAGAGAAGGGAGAAGGGAGAGAGAGAACGAGAGGGAAGGAGAGAGAGGGGAGAGAGAGAGAGAGAGAGAGAGAGAAAGCGATGGAGTGGAGAGAGAAGAGAGGGGGAAGGGATGGGCGAGAGCGCGAGAGAGAGCGCGAGAGAGAGCGAGAGAGAGAGCGAGAGAGCGAGAGAGAGCGCGAGAGAGAGCGAGAGAGCGAGAGCGCGAGAGAGCGAGAGAGGGGGAAGGGACAGGAGCGAGCGCAAGAGAGCGCGAGGGGGTCGGTCCTGTCTCGTTCCCAACCGCTCGCTCGCTCGCCCGCTCGCTCGGCCCGAGCCCCCGGGGCCGGCCATTGGAAGAACGTGGCCAAACATCCCCCCCCACCAGACGCGCAGCGCACGCCCTTCGCCCCGGAGCGGCCGAGCGCTCCGCGTGTCGCAGCGCGGCCACCAATTTAGGTCAACGAAAAGAAACCTTGTAAGGAAAAGTTTACGCTCCCCCCACCCCCCCTCCCCCACACATACAGAAAGAGGTGTACATTTTATTTATTTTTTGTGTGGGGGGGAGGGGGGGGGGAGAGAGGGGAATGAGCCCCAAAAACCATCCCATTCACACGCAGCGAGGACAAAAAACCCGCCCAATTACCCGCCCAAGGCTCTTTTTTTTTGGGGCGCGCGCGCGCGCGGGCGGGCGGGCGGTTTGTCGTCAGGCAGCAGCCAACCGCCCACACAAAAAAAAACCGCCCAATCGGGCGTGAACCCGCCCGCCCCGCCCCCCCGAAAACCTGGCGACGTTAGTGGTGGTTAGTGCGCAGGCGCGCCGGTTGCCCCTCCCCTCCCCGCCCCCCTCCCCCCCCCCCGGGCCGGGGCCGCCGTGTGAGCGCAGCGCTCAGTGTCCGGCGCGGAGTCAGGGACGTGTCTCCCTCTCTCTCTCTCTCTCTCTCCTCTCGGTGTGACTGTGTGTACAGTTACTCCCTCCTCCCCTCCCCTCCCCCCACAACAACAACAACAAACACCGCCCCCTCCCTCCCACCCACCCACCCCGGGCCTCCCCCTCCCCCGGGCCTCCCCCCCCCCCGGGCCTCCCCCCCTCCCCCCGGGCCTCCCCCCCCCCCCCCCGGGCCCCCCCTTAATAACCGTCACCAGTCACAGACCATGTTGGGCGCTGAGAAGGCTGGTCCGGGCGGCGGGGCCCCCCCCACCGCCGCCACCACCACCACCACCCTGTCTCCTGCCGGTAACGGGCACGGCAAGGCGAGCGTGAGAAGGCACTCCGCCTCCCCGGGGGAGCGGGCGGCACCGGCACCGGTACCGGTACCCGGGGCCGGCAAAGCGGGCAGCAACCGCAGCAGCGGCAGCCCCAGCCCCGGCTCCGGCTCAGGCTCAGGCTCCGGCTCCGGCTCAGCCCCCGGGAACATGGTGGAGGCGGCGAGGACACCGGGAGAGCAGCAGCAGCAGCAGCACCCGGAGGCTGGCAGAGTGGTGGAGGGTTTACTCAGCAAATACACCAACCTGATCCAGGGCTGGCAGAACAGGTGAGGGGGTGAGGGGTGTGGGGAGGGGGTGAGGGAGGGGGTGAGGGGGGTGGGGAGGGGTGAGGGGGGTGTGGGGGGGGGAGAGAAGTTGCTTCGGTTTTAATCGGGAACTTCCCCTGCGGGAGGGGGAGAGGGAAGGGAGAGGGGGAGGTGGTGCAGAGGGAGGGAGAGGGAGGGAGAGGGGGAGGTGGTGCAGAGGGAGGGAGAGGGAGGGTGGGAGAGAGGGAGGGAGAAGGGGAGGAGGTGCAGAGGGAGGGAGAGGGAGGGAGAGGAGGCAGAGGGAGGGGGAGAGAGAGGGAGGGAGGGAGGGAAGGAAGGAAGTGTGTGCACTCCCAACCACCTCTTCTCCAGGCTGAAAGGTTACTCCTTTTTGCACTGGATACATTATATATATATATATATATATATTATTTATAGAGAGAGAGAAATACTTACTTATACTATTAAAAGGTGCCATTGCATAATGTCACAAATCCCAGCAAACACAACCACCCCACCCCACCCCCACCCGAACTGCTTATTTTGTGACAGCAGCACCCAAAATGTTACCACTTGACATTGCAGATCAGGAATGCTGTCGCTGTTGTTTTGGTGGCGATGCTGCCTTTTTGCACGATGCACAGTGTTTTGTTAATCGCTCAGCGCGGCGAGCGTGACTTAAACGGACTGCTCGGCACCGATCATTTTGCAGTGTGCTTCAAATTTAGCACGACTTCAATAGTCAAACGTAGAAACGTGCCACTCGCTGCCCATTCCAGCTTTGGTGAAATAGTCGTTTCAAATGCATTTGTGATTGTAGTTTGGGTCAGCTGGCAATCTCGAGCGTGCAGAAGCCCTTTGCAATACTTCCCAGAAAACTTAACAGGAGCAGTGTTTCTAGTTTCTGGAGTGAACAGACTGCCCCTCAGATGGGGCATACGGGACTTGCTTACATCTAGAGGACATAAGTGCGGGATGGTAGAAGCCAAGGCATTAGGGAGCCAAACATGTGTATTGGGGTACTGCTGGATGAAGGATCTAAAACCGTGAAGGTTTTAGATCCTATAAGACAGCTTTTGATTTCTTGCCCAAGTTGGGTCTCTTTAGCCATTGGATCATTGGCTTATCGTAAGTTGCGTGGGAAAATTCCTCCACTGTTCGCCTCTGGACAGAATTCTACCTACCTCCTCTTTTTGCCGCCTCGTACCATATAAGTGAATGGCGTGTATATGGGTGGTGGATAATTATTGGCTTTGGTACTGACTGCATCGACTTGGATAGATGCTCACTCCACCGCATAGCGCTGGTCTGGAACCTCAGTATCTTTTTTGACCCTCAACTGTCATTCTAGCCTTATGAGAATTTCACTCGCTCAGTTTTCCCTCACCTCTACAACATTGCTTTCTTCCTTCTGTCTTCCTGGGCTGCTGAGATCCTCGTTTGCTCTTTCATCGCATCCAGACTTGACTGTTCCAATGTCCTGCGTGCCAGACTGTCCATCTCTTGCCCACACAAGCTGCAGAATATCCAGAACTCTAGGACTTGTGTCGTGTACCACACTGGCTTCTGCGAACCAATCAACCCCTCCTTGCTCAGCTGCAGGCACTCCCCATTCCCCCCAGCAGTGACTGCGAATCGACTAACAACTGGGATCCTACTTACTGCTAAGTAAACAGACTTAGGTGGAGTAAGGAAACCTGAATAGCATTTCGCCCTGCCGGGAATCAATCCCAGCTTCTCTCGCTTGCGAGGTAAGTGCTCTAAACACTAAGCAACAGGACTCCACAAATGGTAAACGCAGACTGGATTCTGCACTGCCCACAGCACTGAGACAGCGCTTGTCAAAGTCACAAATGACGTCCTCCCTTTTGTGTGTCCAGAGCTCCCTCTGCCTCCTTGTCCTCTCTGCAGCGTTCGACAGTAGATCATGCCATTCTCCTTCACTGCCTCTCCCTCATACACCTCAGTGGGACTGCACTTGCCTGATTCGAGTCCTATTTAACCAATCACCATCACTTCGTCTCCACAGACATTTTTTCCTCCCGCCCCCTTTCGATTACCTGTGGTGTATCCCAAGTCTTCACCCTTGGCCCTTCCTTTTCCTTATTTACATGCTCTCTTTGGTGATGTCATCCGCAGACACGGTGTAAACTTCCACATGCATGTGGGACACCCAAATCTGCTTCTCCGGCCGCGACTCCAGGTCCGTTGATCTTCTGAGAGCTTGTTTGCTGGACATCAAGGCTGAGATGAGCACTAGGTTTCTGACTTATTCAACCTCTCGAGCTACCGAGCCTGTACATAACCTAGGCGTCAGATTTGATCCCCGACTGTCCTTCCTACCCCACATCCCATTCCTAACCAGGAATGGTTTCCTCCACCCATATCATATTGCCCACCTCCGACTGTACCTTGTACCCAATGTAGCCAAGACCCTCGTCCACGCTTTCTTCACCTCCCGCCTCGATTAATCCAATGCGCTCCTCGCTGGTCTTCACGGCTCTCCTGTGCACAAAATCCAATTCATTCAGAACTCTGCTGCCCATATACTCACCCACGCCAGGTGCCATTGACTCCCTATCACGGAACAAATTGACTTCAAAGATCCTCATACTTGTCTACAAATCTCCTCATATCCTTGTATCTCCCTATCTTTTCGGCTTGCTCCTCCTCCTCACTCCACCACCCGTCACCTCTCCTCGGCTGACTGCTTGTCCTTTGTCCCCTCCGCTCCACCATTGGCGACCATCCTTTCAGTCACGATGTCCCCGAAAGTTTGGAACACTCTCCTTCAGTCTCTCTGCCTTGTCCCCTGCTTCCCCTTTTTGAGAGCACGGCTGGAGACCTTCCTCTTCAATTGTGCTTATGGTTGTCTCCTCCCTCCCCTCGGCTCGGCGCTCAGAGACCCCACATGAAGGGTTCTGTATAAATGCAAGTTGTTGTAAAAGCTTGCATGCATGTGATTGTACAGGAATTCGTATGCTGTGACCCCCATTATAATATAGCACCTCCTCAAATATTGGGAAGACTGCTTTGGTAAAAATAAGTAAGATAGTTGTTTTCACGTTTTTGTGATCGCGACTTAAAAAAAACATAGGAATAGAACTGAACAGTACTGGAGGTGGTCAATATATATTTATACTGTTGCCATGTTTACCTTTATATTTATTTTTATATCATGTCTTTTTTGTACTGTTGCCATGTTTACTTTTATGTTTATTTTTATTTATATAATTTTTTTGTACTGTTGCCATGTTTACTTTTATGTTTATTTCTCACAATTGCTTGTGGGACACTGCTGTACGCAATTGGTTGCCGCATTTCGCCCACAAAATACAGTTAATTCACTTTACAGTATATTTTGTGAAGATCTTTGAGATATCTCAATTAATTGATAAGGTGCAATATCAAAAGCAAAGTTTAGTATTATTATTTGTTGTTTATATACTTGCTTTATATACTTCATATATTTCCCTTTCACTTGGAATAACTTTCATTTGCTTGAGTTTCTTTAGTAAGTATCAGCAATGTAGAAATGTCCTTTTTTTTAAAAAGAAAATTTGTATCGCGCTCTTCATGTTGGAAAGACGTCCCAGGGCGCTGGACAGTCGGGGATTTTTGGACCCGAGTTGGGGTCAGGAAGGGTGGAGGGGAGGTGGGGGTGGGAGGGTGGCTGAAGGCACCGTCGAAGCGGGAGGTCTTTAGACGGGACTTGCGGGGGGAGAGCTTTGGAGGGCTTTGAAGGTGAGAACGAGTGTTTTGTACTCGATTCTCTGAGGGATGGGGAGCCAGCGAAGCCGGGCAAGAACAGGGGTGATCGGTTCGCAGAACCTGGTGCAGGAGAGGACATGAGCTGCAGAGTTCTGAATAATCTGTAGCTTGTGGAGGGAAGAGTTGGGAAGTCCAGCGAGCAGGCAGTTGGCGTAGTCAAGGACGCGATGAAAGCGTGGACACGGGGTCTCGGTCTTGGCGGCCTGCGGTAGGAGGCAGGGGCGGAGACGAGGAATGTTGCAGAGGTGGGGAAAGGTGGAACGGGTCACCGCGCGAATGTGGGGCTTGAAGGATAGCTGAGGGTCAAAAAGGACACCGAGGCTTTGTATTGGTGAGGAGTGCAGCTATGAATAGTGATAATGTCAGCGGCTGACGTGAAGAGGCGTTGCCAGGAGCCAAGCAGGAGGGCCACTGTCTTGCCAACATTGAGCTGGAGGAAGTTGGCTCTCGCCCAGGGCTTGATGTCAGACAGTCAATTAGCCAGGACATCAATGGTCCTGGAGTCGAAGGTGGAGACGGTGAGTTAGAGTTGGGTGTCATCCGCATACATGTGGAAATTGAACCCATGCCTGCGGTTGACATCACCGAGCGGAAGTATGTATGGATTGCAGAGGAGGGAGAGCGAGGACGGAGCCCCGAGGGACGCCCACAGCCCTTTTGGTCAAAGTTCCCATTGCTTGGGATCACTTCTGTTTTCAAAAGAGGAATCTGTTAGCTTTTGTTGCAGAGGTGGAACATTTCATTCAGCATCTATTATCATTGTGTCTATTCAAAAACAATTTTTAAAAAGTCCTTAAGGTGAAGTGTTAATAATACTCTTATCACCCATTATTAGAATTACCACTTATTCTTTGGGACCTAGTTTTCAACCTACGTCAAAATCAGTTACTATAATAACTTTGCTTTGTGGTTCAACAGAAATATTTTAGTGTGATTTAGCTAAAATAAGTATCCGTTTGCTAATGCTAAATTTGGTCTCTTTTTGTTCCACTTCGAAAATGAAGCAAATCGTTCCTACTCGGGGAGGAAATTTAGCACCTTTCTTAAATTTCTCATCTAATTAATTTAATCTAGAATTAAAGGTTGGTAATTTACTTTGGCAAAGTGGATATTTCGTCTTGGCAGCTCATGTTGTCAGGCTGACTCAGTTGGTAGCTTATCACTCTTGCTTCTGAGTCAGAACGTTGTGGGTTCAAGCTGCCTCTCAGGATTTTTAACTCAATCTGAGTTGACACTCCAATGCTGTGCTG